ACCTCCCCAACCAGATGAGCTTGGGGTACCAGACAGAGATGTTGGGTCACAGTGTCCACTTAGATTCTACGGTCAGGGCCACCCAGAGCCATGTCTGGTCTGAAGCTGCGTGTGTATGAGTCTTATTTCCTTGGCAACAGAGAGCTGCCCTTGTAGCCAAAGTATTAATTTTCTTTTTAATCATTCAAGTTGTCAGGAGATAAGTGGATGAGGGGAGACAAGTAATGTCAACTTTCTGTTACTTTGGAAGAGCTTAATTTTCTCAACTGGATTCCCCAAAAGAATCAGTGACAATCATAGCTCCCTTTCTGCCCCGGACATTTGCTAGCTGACTATCCATCTTGATGCTGGCGTATCTCCAGTGAGTGCTTCATTTCACTCCTCTTGAGTTTTATAGATTGCAAGTTCCCTGAAGCAGACAGAGGTTCTGTCTCATACTTCTGTATTTTTTTCCCCATCTCCAGTGCCCAATAGATTTACAAAATGTCTTTAAATGATTGAAGTGGATTTCCATGTAGGACTGACCTGTGAGGCCTCGGGGTCCTTTCTCACCCTGGTCACCTAAAACAAACATGAGGGGTGGCAGGAAGCATCAGTCAGGAGGAAGGAAAACATTCTCACTCAGTTAGAGGGACCCCCGATGCAGCATAGTTCTCACTGTATCTGGAAGCTTCTGTCAGTGGAATCTTGGCGAGAACGCATCATTTACGAAGCCAAAGGGGCCCCTGTGATTCCACCCACAAGCTGACCCCAGCCCCAGCTGTCATACGATGGGTGCTATGGGCACAGGGTGGCCAGAGCAGGAGGACCTCAGCACTGCATCCTCGCCACCTGAGGGTCACCCAACGACAGTATTGCAATGTTGGTACTTTGTGGCCCCTCTTTGTGCCTCGGTTTCCCTATCTGAGAGGCACATCCCTCCCAGCCCCAGGGTCCAGGAACCAGAGTCATCTGTACTCTTGAATACTGGAGCATGGGTCACATTTGGGTTGCCAGGAGTCAGGCAGGCTCTGGTGATGTCTGAGCAGCGGTAGGAACAACATACCTTTAGGTCCTGGTGGTCCCATAGGTCCTTTGTCACCTGAAAAAGTAATGGACAACTTAATATAAAGAGCCTTGGTGAGGAAGACCAAGAAGGGCAGTGTCTGTGTCTGAAGACAGGCACCTCCACCCCACCATCCTGACTTCCCCTTCTCTTAGCATGTCTGTCAGCCTGCACAGGCTGTTGGTCATATCCATCTGACCCTCTCTGTCCCCCCAAGACCTTCTTCTTGAATGATTGGCACCTACAGGGTGACATCTCCCCCCACTCAGCTTCTCCCCACCAGCTTACCTTTGACACCAGGGAGTCCCACTTCACCTCGGGACCCTTGGAGACCTACAGGGCCTGCAAGCAGAGGAAACCATGTAGGTGGGTGAATGTCCCGGCTTTGGGATAGACAGACACGCACACACAGACACATACATGCACACAGACAGGCACATACCCATGTACACACACATGCATGTGCACATGGTCAGGTGCTAACACATTCTGGAGTAAAAAGCAAGGGCTGCTCTCCGCAGTTGCTCCCCACCTCCCCTCCACATCAATCCTGGCAGGTTCTTTGCCTCTGTGATTGCCAGGCCCCGGTCATAAGGGCACCTCATGGGACCCTGGCAGAAACATTGGCCTGCATTACAATGTGGGCTGTAGCTTGAGATTCCCAAGATAGCAGGATGAGCTCTGTCCCATTGGGATGAGGTAGAGGCAGGCTTTTGTTCAAATGTGAGGGCAGGATGGGAGCTGCCTGCTGCTGGAGCTTCCAGAGGGCCGCAGGCCCCAAGCCAAGTTGGAATGGCTCTCACAGGGCCCATTGGTACCCGACCTCAGCTGCAGGGGACACAGTGTGGACCTGAGATTTGTGCCTCCAAGCTCTCTTTATAATTGCTTCTTTTGCTTAAATAATGTTTGTTTCTCCTTTTGGCATCCCTTTCTTTGCCCCAGAAATAGCATTTATTACAAGAATAAGTGCACTGACCTGGGGGACCCTGTGGGCCAGGAGAACCACTGGCACCTGAGAAGGACAAAAAACAACAACAGTTATCAGAAGGGTCTGGCACAGGCCAGGGACATCTGCCCCCACGCTGAAGGTCAGGTGGAGGGGTGGGGCTCACTTCCAGGTGAGGGCTGTGTGTATGCATGTCACCCACCCAGCATAGGTTCTTGCCAGGACCCCAGAGCCAGTGGAGTCATGGAAAGATGACCCAAGTCCAGTGCAAAGTCATCCTCAGGGAGAAATCTGAAACTGGTGGGATCAAGAGATCCCTGCTCCTTCCTGGTCATAGTGAAACATTTGGGCTGGAGCAGGGGAGGGAGGAGAGATGACTAATGGGCCTCAAATTGAGAAGGCCCATTCTCTGGGGTTGTTCAGACATGTTGCTTTTGAATGTGTGTATCTGGGACCCAGTCAGGTGAGGAGATTGTCTGACTTCTGATTTCCTGATCCATCCACCTCCTTAGGGGCCACATAATGGGGCTATTGAAAACAGATGGAAATACGGCCCCAAATCCATCATGCAGCCCAAACTAGCCCCAATCCTGACCCCTGACTCCTTTTGGGGGGACCCTCTCTTGGCCCCTAGCTCCTGTACAGGCCTAGGGCAGAGGGTTGGGGCTGTCCAGGATCCCAGCACCTGGACCTCTGTTATCCATCCTGGACACTGCAAACTTGGGTAGCATCCTGGGCACTTGACTTACCTTTGGGACCCACAGAACCCGGGACACCAGGTGGGCCCGGTTCACCAGCAAGCCCTGGGGAGAAATGAGCACTCTGAGAGAGTCCACCCAACCTGGTGGTGTCATTTGGGGGATGGTTCCCACCCTGCTAGTGGCCTCTGATCCATTTGGTGCCTCCCCAAAGCCATGAATCAGCAAAACACCTTCACAGTTTCTACCCTCAGAACCTTTATGCTCCATGAAGCCTGGAGCCCGAGGTACTTGATAAACATTTGTTGCCTTATTGAGCAATATTTTTAAGAAAGGGAAGCTAAAAATAAAGCTTCTTGCTCATGGTCTGTTGGCATTGAGAGGATTTCTGGGGTCTGTGCTTGTTTTTTCTTGATAAAAACAGACTCATGGTTAAGAATCTAACTGCAAAATCTTTCCAGGCCCCTCCAGGACTGGGCCTGTGTCTGGGGCTTTCCATGCCTTCTTCACTGACAAGTTCCAGTAAGAGAGGCTGTAGGGACTGAACCCCACTCTGCCTTCTATCAGGGCCTGTCTCAAGCTTTTCACCTCAGCCCTGACTTCTCCCCACCCCATGCAGGAAGCCCCTTTCTCCCATGACTACTTTCTCCGTGCATTCTGAACACTGCAGGGTTCTTAGCCTGGGGCCTGGACCTCACCCTCATTAGACCACTGTCTCCACCAGGCCTGTCCCAGACCGTGGCTCAAAGTGCCCAGCAAATGCTACTGAAAGGAGGGAGGGAGGGAGAGAGATGGAAGAAGGAAGGATGGACGTAGCTACCCCTCTTGGTGAAGGAATTGCCTCTTACCTTTGTCCCCTTTTTCTCCAAACCCAGGTGGCCCTGGTTCACCACGAAGTCCCCTGGGGCCTTCCTGTCCTTTCTGGCCCACAGGTCCCTCCATGCCAGGCTCTCCTAAAAACAGAAGTGGCCATATCAGAGTTAGGGCCCTGAGCCCAGCTGAGGTCTCCACAGGCAGAATCTCGCTGTCAGGATGCCTGCCTGGAGTCTCTGCACTTGTCCCCTGCACCTCCCCTCTCCTCTTGTAGCCCAATATCAACCCAGAAGCCAGAAGAACCCTTTGAAAATGCAAGAGGGTCACATTCCACCCTTTCCCTAAACCTGCAAGTGGCTTCTCCCCTCACTGGGAAGAAAAGTCTTTACAAGGGCCTCCAGGGCCCCACATGGTCAGCCTTGCTCACTGCCCTCCTTCTGGACTCCCTGCCTCTCGCCTGGGTTGCAGCTGAGGCCTCGACGACTTCCTCCTCCTCACTCCTCCTTGACCAGCGGGCACATCCTTGCCCTGGGGCCTGGGGCTGCTCCCTCTGCCCGAAACGTTTCCCCAGGATTTCCTCATGCCCGGCTCCTTCACCCCCTTTGAGTCTTTGCTCAAATGGCACCTTCTCAGTGAGGCCTTTCCTGAGGGCTCCCTCAAGACTCCCTAAGCCTCCTCAGCCCCTGTCTTTCCCGTTACCGAACCACCTCCTACCCTACTTTGAACTTCACATATTTATCACGTCTATTGTCTTTCTTCCCCACCCACACGTAAGCAGGGGTTTCTCTGTTATGTTCACTGGTGTATCCCCAGCATCTAATATGGTCTGGCATACAGCAGGCACTTAATAAATGTTTCTTGAGGTAGGGAGGGAGTGAGGGAAGGAAGGAGTGAATGGAGAAGAGGTTCTTACCCATGCTGCCCTTTTGTCCCCTTGGTCCTTCTGGACCTGGTTGTCCCAAGAGCCCAGGGATACCTGTGGATACATGAAAATACCTCAGCCATATTCTCCTCCTGGAACCTGGGATCCGGGACCTAGCAGCCTGCACTACCAGCCATGCCACCAGAGATTACACACCTGGAGTCCCGGGAAGACCTCGATCTCCTGTGGGAACAGAGATAAGAGAGAGAAGTCATTTTGAAGACTTGGGTCATTACCTAAAGGAGTCACCAGGTGAGATTCAGGCAGGATCGCCAAATGTAGCAAATAAAAATACAGGGTGCTCAGTTAAGCTGAATTATAGATAAACATTGAATACATTTTTAGTATAAGTATGCTTCATGTAATATTTGTGACATACTTACAGTGAAAAATTATTTGTTGTTTATTTGTAATTTGAGTTTAACTGAGCAGCCTGAATTTTATGGTAACTGCAGGCTCAGGGGCTCTAGGACCATCAGTCCCCATCCCCAGCATGGTCAGGGTGTGTGTGGCCTGCATACTGGAGTCCTGGGTAAGGGGTCTGGGGCAGTGACCCAGGGTGTGTGTGTGGGGGGCAGGGAACCCTGAAGAGAAGAAGAGGAAGAACCCCAATTTCTGCATAGGGATCTCCTGGGAAGAAAGATTGAGCTCAGAGAGGAGACTCTATCACTTTATTCTCAGAATGAGCTGTGCACCCCTGGCCTCAGAACCACCTGGGGTCAGGACTGCAGACTCCTGGCCCCACCCACCTGTCCCTGCTGAATCGGAGGCTTGGGAAGTTGGACCCAGAATCTTCTGTCAATTCTCATGTACACTGGAGTGTGTGAACCCCACTCAGCTATAACAAGGGGTGCTGCTGTGGTCCCTGGGACTGGAAACCTTTTCCTCCCACCCATGGGCCTGTCCTTGTCAAACCCCTTCTCTGAGGAAATACATCAATTTCTTATAGCACATAGGTGTATGCCACACAAGTTAGCAGGAGATTGTTCCCCGACTGATTAATACTGTGGGCACCTGTTCCTGTGACTATGCCCGCACAGCCCCTGAAGGCAGGTGGTGTTGCTCCTGCTGGATTCCCCGACAGGGGCTCAGCTCCTGACTGCTGGCTGTTATTCCCAGCCTCCCTGGGCTAAGACCCCTGAGAACAAGTTGCTCACTTGGAATGGTGGTTCCTGACCTGATTTATCAGAATTAAAATCTGGGGGGAGGGTGGGTCTAGCCTCAGAGTGTCTGCTTCAGGAACATCTGATTCGCAGCAGGGCCCAGGAATCTGTATTTCTGGAAATCTCCAGGGGCTGTGTAGTGGCAGGCCCTCAGGCTGCCCTTTGGAGCTGGGGAGATGTAGGCCTTTGACACAGGCCACCTGAGGGTCCATGTTCTAGGAATCCCTGGAGCCCTGAGAAGGGGCGAAGGACAATGATGGAGCCCTGCTCTGTCATGAGGTCCCTGCCCACAAAAGCCCAAGGGTCTGCAGGCTATTCTGCAGTTCACGGTCCTACTACAGAGGGGAGATGGCCAAGATCATGTGAGGTGGGTTCTCTGATACTTGTTGATTGCTTTAAACCGTCAACCCTCATTAATATTTAAGATAAAAATTACCTTTAGGGCCTTGACTTCCCATGTCACCTAAAATAAGAAAGATAAGAAAATTGTGAATGGGGTGAGAACCCAAGGGCTCTTCTCTTGTAGTACTTAAGACCAGCTGACAGTAGGTGAACCGCATTTCAAGGTGAGTTGGCATGGGGCGTGGATTCCGCTCAGTCTCTGTCAGTGTTCTTTGGCACATTGCTGGGTCTCTCTTAGAGGGTGCCTTAGGTCCCTTCCGGTTCTGAGATATTCTGACTGTAAAACCAATTCTCAACCCTCCCGAACAGATGCCATAAAGTTTGTCTACTGCTCCTTCAATTTGGAAGAAAAGGTTTTCCAATCCACCCAGAAAATATGGCTCCAAGTTGAAGAAATGAGAGTGAAAGGGCTCAATCCACCACAGTACCTTTAGGGCCAGGGTTTCCTCGGAGATTGCCTACAAGAGAAAGTAAACCCTGAGTTAGTTGCACATCCTTTGTGAAACACACACACACACACACACACACACACACACACACACGAAAGGGATCTCTGTGGTATAGTGGGAAGAAACCAAGGCTAGGACTAGCAATCAGATTCTAAAATGTGCTAGTTGTGTGATCTTGGGCAATACTCCCCAGGTCTCAGTTTTCCCAACAGTGAAATGGGTTCACAATACTGGTCCTGAGTGTGAAGGAAGTGTGAGTGCCCCGAGTGGGCACCACTCCACACACAGGCAAAGGAGCAGTGAGTGGGAGCAGGCCTGCCCTTCGCCCTGGGATGTGCTCACCGTTTTCTTGTTCCATCATCAACTTGTTCCTCACAAACAGCCAGAGCACCTCCTTACTGGAGGCGTCGGGCCCGGACTCGCCCAGGCCTGCGCGCACCTCGGGCGCCAGCCCCTGCAGCCGGTCCTTGCTGCTCCTCTCCATCTGCTCCTGGTACTGCAGCACCCTGCTCCTGTCTCTCTCCAGCTCGTCCACGCGCGCCTTCAGCTTCCTCACCTCCTCGGCTGAAAGGGCACACAGGCGGTGTGAGCCGAGGGTCAGAGCCAGCGCCTTCCCCGCGCACGCCCACTCCCCCAGGGAGCCTGACCTGGGGGCGCTGGGGCCTGCAGCGCCTCTTCATGCTGCTGGGGACATTCTGATGGAATGCTTATGGCTACCAGCTACTCAAAATTGTCATCGAGCCCTAAAGAAACCTGGCCTGGGTGGGGTCAGTCTTCTCATTTGAGACAGTGACAGTGGCCCTCATTCTTCCTGGGAGCTGGTGTGAGGACAACAGAGCATGGAGGGCAAAACTGCTAAGAGAAGGCATGGCCTAACTACTCCGGGGCCGGGTGCTCAGAGCAGTGTGGCAGGCCCGAGGCCCGGGCACCTGGAGCTGCGTTAGAGCCCCGGCTCTGCAACCAGGTGGCCTCGGGACCGTGGCCAGGTGCCTCCTGGAGCCTGTTTCCTCATCTGCAGTAACAAGGGGTCTCATTGATCATGTCTAGCCCCTTAGCCTCAACCCTTGTGACACTGGCCAATTCCTGCCCTTTGAATGGGCAGCGGGACCTGCTGCCCTGCCACCCTCGCCACGTACCCAGAGCAATGAGGCCGAAGAGCAGGCCCAGGAGCAGCAGCCAGGTGAGCAGCAGGCCCAGCAGCCATTTCCACCAGCTGCAACAGGAGCCGCAGGGGCACCAAGCTGGCGCCGCCCCCCACTGGCCCCCGCCAACACCGCCGCCAGCACCACCACTGCCACCTTTAATGCCACTGACACCGTTATGGCGGTCATAGCCGTGGATATCTGTGGAAGAGAGGGTAAGTGTAAGGTGAATGCAGGTGGCTCTTGCTCTCTTCCCTCTAAATTCTCTGGCTTTTGGTGGCTCCCTGTGGGCCTGAATGAATGTAAGTGGGTCTTTCAGGTTCCTGTGCAGCTCGGTGAAGGATGAGGCTGGCGCCTGGAACAAACACGGCTGTGGCTGGTGAAGAGCAGAAGTCTGACAATCCTGGGCTTGAGCTGTGTGGCCCTGAGATGGTCACTTAACTACTCCGTTTCCTTTTTTTTTTAATTTTTTTAAATAAGGTTAAAAGATTACTTCATAGGACAGTTGTTGAGTGAAATGAGAGGCATGGAAGTTAATTAGCAGAGGATGCAGCCCAGAGTGCTAGGTTTAAAAATCTCGATTATGAACTTTGATCTGCCACAACCTTCTACATTTTATTAGGCCCAAACCAAAGCTGTTCCCATGTCACAGCACACAACTCTTTGTAATCCCCAAGTGCCTACAATTACACTCAGCACTTAAAGCATGCCCAGTAAATGTGTGGGGTTTTTTTGTGTGTGTTTTTGTGAAAAGGTTTTTCAGTATCTAAAATGTGTGCTAACCCTTGCTCTGCCTCTCTTACAAGGCTAGAGGAGGGAGAGAGGAAAGTGTAAAGGGCTGGAGATGCATGTGAATTAGTGTCACCCTGAAGCCTGTGTGTGTGTGTGGGGGGGGGTAAGACAACAGCAGCCCTGCTGTGTTGCTCCCTCCATGTGGGGAGACCTTGGACCTGAAGACAGGTAGCAGGTGCCTAGAGGTGATGGTGGTAGGGGGGGAGCTGTGAGCAACAACCTCTGAACTAAGCTTCTTCTGCCCATTCTCGCCCTAGCTTGCCCCCTCCACCGCCCTTACCCTGCTCCCTTTGAGCCTTCAGGGACACTGTTCAGAGTTTGGTGGCTCAAGTGTGCACTGGCTCCAGGCTTGGGGGCCTTATCTGTTCTGTTCCATTCACCATAACCAGTCCCGTGGGCTTCTGTCACTGCAGGACCTGCCTGTCTCACCTACCTGCGGAGGCGGCCTTGCCCTTTGTGGTCACCGTCTTCACATCTCCTGAAAGACAAGCACCGAGAACAAAGCTTTTGACCTGAGCTTTTAAATGTGAGGAGCCCACAAGACAGCCTCTGTGAAGATACTGGGCAGGGCTTTAGGTAGATATGCCCCTCAGGCATCTTGAACAATTGCGTCGATGCAGACATGGCTTGGCAAACAATTAATGGTGGAAAAAAGCAGTGTCATAACCCTCTTGTGACCTGTAACCTTTAAAGCCCTAGACATTTTCAGAAGACCATCTTAGGAGTGACCCCTTGCTTTCAAACAATAAATGTGCTTGTGAGAAATGACTTGATTTTTTGGGTTAAGGGACTTTGAATGCAAGTTCCTGCCCTGAGGTGGAGGGAACTGGACAGCAAGGATGGGTTAGGAGGAGGACTGTTTATGAGTTCCTGATGCTATTTGACCATTGAGTGTTTCTGGGCATGTGCACAATTTTCTGGGAAAATTATTTACAGCTTTCATCAGATTCTGAAAGGGTCTTTTGGCTTGGCTGCCCCATTTCCACCCTTAAAATGTAAGGAACAGCTAAGGCTGAGGGTTAGGCATTGCCAGGACTGAAACTGATTTCATTTGCATTTTATCGAAAAACGTTCTATGATGTACTTTTCCCTTCCTTTACTGAGCCTCCTGAAATCAGTGATTTGGAGAGATGGTTCAGGACCCAGAGCAGTGAAGCAATGTGTTTATCTATGAAAGGATCCAGATATTTTGGAAGAAAAAAATAAAGCCAGCAAGTGCTTTGCAAAACATTTTTCTATTAGTTCTGAAAACTAAGGGAGGACAAGTAAGGTGAGAAAAAAAACAAACCACTGTAGACCTTATGCATGTCATGGGAAAGTTTTTGTTTCAGTGTTGTGCATGCACAAATCAGCTGGAAGCTTGTTAAAATGCAGCCTCTGACTCAGCAGGCCTGGGCTAAGGCCTGGGTGTTGCTCTGCTGCTGGTCCAGGGACCACAATTTGAGTAGTGAGGTCTCAGGAGACAAAGAAATAAATGAAATGTGGATTGGCTGAAGGCAAGGTGGACATCCATCAGATTTGGTCTTACCATTAGTTTCCAAGATTAGCTTGGTGTCAGCGGTGTAGGCAGCTTGCTTTTCCTTTTTTAGGGTGTCCTCTGAAAAAGAAGCTGTGCACACAGCCCGTGACAATCTGGGATATTCTCTCCCCACTCTCCAACCCCACTCTACTTCCTGTTCCACGTGGAAAGGTAAAGGTTAGCCTGGTAGGAAGAGGACCCAACTTTCCTGGGGTTAATTCCCCCATCTGTGTTTGTGGTTGAAAGTCTTGCTGTTGTTGCCCAAAGACTTCTCTGGGAGCTCTTTTCCAGACTTTTCCTGGCTCATCTGCATTCAAGGCAGACCTTGGGAGCACCCTATTTAGCCAGGCATTTTTTCATTTGAATGGATGACTGTGCTTTCACTATTAAAATATCTCAAACCACCTTGCTAGGACATTGGGTCTCCTACATTGTCTTTCTTCTGAACCTGAGTCACTTGGGCTCCCACATACTTGCAGCGATGCTGGCAGGGGAGGCGGTAAAGACCTTCCCGCTGTCCTTGTTCATGATCAGCAGCTCCATCTCCTTCTTGGCAGGCACATTGTCTTTCTCCAGGATCAGGAATTTACAGTCCTTGTGCAAGAGGTCATCATTCTGGACACTTGTGGTACAGGCTAGAGAGGGAAGAAGTAGGTGAGGAGGAAAGAAAAGTTGCCAGGAGAAGGCAGAAGGAAGAAATGACCAGAAGAGAAGGGGGGAGGAGAAGAGAGATTAGTGGGTGTGTCCAAGTGTCTCCGGTCTCCTTGACAGTGGCTGTTAAGAAGCATCTTGGGGACCAAAGACAACCTCCCCTGCTTGGCTGGGCCTGGTCATGAGGAGGTTGGGTCCATGTCAGAAGTACTGGGTGGCTGGCTTATGGGCCACCTCCTACCTGGATGTTATAGGATCTTTAGTGAATGGATAAAAGTCCCCTCCTCAGGCAGCCCCTTCTTTAACTTGGGTTCATTTCGATCCTTAGGTCTCAGTGTTAGCATCCAGGGGTGGGGAGTTTCCTGACCACCCTGCCTAAAATACACACTTTCGCTTTACTACCACCTCAGCTTTTTCTTTCCTTCAAATTATCTTGTGTACTTTGTCCATTGCAATTGTCAGGTTGGTGAGGGCAAGAACCTAGTTCTGCCTTGTTCATTCTGTGGTCTAGGCACTTAAAATCAGAGCAAAGGAGGAAATAGCCCGCCCTGTGTTGTGAGCCCTAGTCGATAAAGATTCTACAGAAAGTAGGGAGGGTGTGGCAGCTTTGACCAGCTCCCTGGTTCTTGAGATGGGTGACATGTAACAGGAGCAGGACAGAGGCTTCCAAACAAGGGTGGAAGCTGGGGTGTAAGTGTCTGACCCTAGGCGGGTGTGGTGGGTGAAGCTTCCTGAGTCCCTTGGACAGAAAGGTTAAGGTAAGGTCAGGGAAATGTTCATCTCTGCTCATCTCTGGAAATAACCGAGAGGCCTAATTGAGAGCTTAGACCACGAATTGGTTATATCCCCTCCTACCATATGCCATGTGTCACCACAGAGCAATTCTCCCTGTACTGCCTTCCACTGGCAGCTGGGGATAGCACTCACCGGCAGAGGTGGACACGCCAGTGCTCACAACGGCAGGGCTCTGGGATATGTTTTTCTTCATACCATATGCTGCAAGAAAGGAACCACTGAGTGAGTGGGACCAGTGTGGGAGGGCAGCTCCATGCAACTTCGAAGCAGCCTGACCAGCCCTGGCAAACAGGCAGCCTCTCCAGATGAGAAGAACACAATGATAAAGAATAATAATAATGAATGAATAATGAAATCAACTCTTTCTTGCCATGGGAGCAGCAATGAGAGTCTAGATGGAACTTTCTTTGGTAAAATTCTCATCCTTCTAGGACAGTTCTAAAGGTCACCTCCTCCATGAAGTCCTCCTAGACCCTCCCATATCACCTTCCCTTCTGAACTCCTACAACCCTAACACCTGCTCGGCATAGGTAGATTCATGTTGTCTTACAGAACCCCCCAATTGTTTCATATTTATTATACTTTCTACTCCAACTAAACAGTAAGCAAGTTGAGGGTCAGGGTTGAGGCTCATGCCTTTTCTGTCCACCCTCCCCTAGGTTTGCCCAGGGAATAAACCATAAAATCAGCAGTGACAGTGGGCTGTCAGGGACAGCAGTGAGTCATACACAGGTCTGTACAGGTGACACTCCACAGGAATGCTCCCCTGGGGTTTCACATGTCTGAGCCAGCAAATGATCGAGGTTGGCATCTCTATGTTGGGAGTGGGGGCTATTTCTTTGAAGGGAAAGGTTGATTGATTTTTAGGGACATCTTAGTCCCTCTGATTCAGTAATTAAAAACTGATATTGTGAGTTATAGTTGTAAACAGGCGTTACTTCCCAGTCCCCAAGCTCCAAACCTCAGTTACTGACCTGTGGAGGTGGTGGCCATGCCATGGGACAGGGCAGATGAGCTGGGGGCCAGATTGTTCTGCATGCCAAACACTGTGAAAGGAATTGAAGACGGGTGAGCCTAGGTGCAGAGAGGAGGGTCCTCAGCTTAAGGCAGCTCCCCTCCCCAGTCCCCAACACCACTTTCATGATAAATACCTTTGCACATGACAGAGATTCCCAAACTTTCTCAGTTCTCACATTTTGTGACACAACAAATTTTTTTTTATGCCCCACTTCCCCATCCCAGGCCAGAAGTTACTAACAGTTCCATTTATTAAGTGGTTAGATCCACACAACTTATACTGGTAGCTCACACAAGGGCTGACAGATTTCACTGCATTTAAAGATACCCTTGGTATTTAAAAATATCCCAGGGTTCCCTGTTCTCTATGGCACCTTAGGGTGCTTTGGTGTACAGTGTGGGAATTGTGGGCATAAGATATAGACACAAGGGGGCCAAAAGGCATGGCCTTGGCAGAGGCCCCATTTTCCCTTGGGCTCTTCCTTCTAACTCAAACACATCAAGTTCCCCTCACCCCCATTCTGATGTCAAAGGCTGGTGTTTTCAGTCCTCCCGTTAATGGCTTCTCTTAATCCATCCTATCTAGTGTTTGGGGCACAAGATCGTGGACCCAATGTCCTTAGTCAGGATTTTACTAAGCAGAATAGCAAAGGTGGAAGAAATGAAGTATGAGCCAGGTGTCTTCTGAGTTTGGTGGGATGCTAGTCAATTGGAGGCGTTGAAAATCAGAACATGAAGTTTGCATTGAGATATGCCAGCCAAGTACATAAGGAGGCCCACATCATTCCAAGGAGAAGGCACATTCCTTTAAAAAAGATGTGGCTGGTAACTTATATACAGGCTGATGCAATGTATTTAGAAATAGAGTGAATAAATCTGAGCTCCCAATGAACTACTACTATATTTATAAAAAGATCTGAAGTAAGAGCCTTCTAACTTAACAATGCTTTTTACCTGAAATGCCCTAAGCCAGGCCTCACTTAGCTTCTTTATTTCCATTTCTCCACCTCTTAGAGAAAACATGTAAGTGAGGTCTTAGGCCCCTCTGCCCTCAGACTCTCCCTTCGGAACTGAGCTGTGTCTCTGACTGGAGGCAGGCTCTGTGCCTTCTTACACAGCCCCCTGGCCACTGCCTCTGTGTTGGTGCACATGCAGGAATGCTCTCATGCTCCTGGGCAGAAAGGACATCTTCTCTAGAAACCATTAGATTTTCCTCACGAGGAAGGAACATCCTTATATATATATATTTTTAAAGCAAACCACCTGGAAAAGGTGACTGAAGCTGGTGAGCACTGACCTGAGGAGGTGCTGGTTCCCGGGTGCAGAGCAGTGGAGCAGGATGCCATGTTGTTTGGAACCCCAAAGACTGCAGAGGAGGAGGAAGGCTGGTGAAAGGGACGTCCACCCCAGAACAAGGGGCCCACAGAAGCTCCGGAAGAAACGCCAGGGTTGCATTTTTATATTTTGTTAAATTTGTTTTTAGGAAAGTCTTAGGCTCTTGTCTTGCAGCAGAGAACCATACATTACTCTCTGGTGTGCCTTAGATCATAGCCAAGGGGTGGTCGTAGGTGGGTCAGGTCTCAAATGGACATTGGCTCTGGCCAAAGACCCCCTTGTTAGTGACCATTTTACAGAAAAGGAACTTGAAACTCAGAAAAGGTAAATAACTTGCTCAAGGTCACACAGTTAATCCAAATGAAGTGAAACTAGGTTCCTTGCATCTGTTTTCATGTTCTTTCCCATTGCATTTTTTCTGACGCTCTGTGTAATATAGTTCTTTTCATAAAGGACCCACCAACGAAACGCCTTAGAGATTGAATTAACTGAAACTCCAATGGAAAAACCTTGGGGTGTTTGGCCATAGAAAGCCCCTCTAGGAAGCCTTGGGGATGGGGAACATCAGTAGGGTCATTCAGCTCTAGGTAAAGGTGTGAAGGGCTCAGGGGTGGGAGGGGACATGCACTGAACTTCACATACCCGATCCTGTAGAATAGGCGTTGGTGTTGAGGAGGGACGAACTATGGGTTGTCATGTTGTTGTGATAGGCCCCCATGGAGGACCCTGCTGGCAAGGTGGAGGACCACATGTGGGAGGGAAGGTTGGCATCCAGGATGGTTGCATCGTAGGTGCCAGACACTGGAAATAGACAGACAGGCAGACAGACGGACACACACACACACAGACACACACACCAGTGAGAGACAAACCAGCATTCTGTNAGACACACACACACAGACACACACACCAGTGAGAGACAAACCAGCATTCTGTGCTGGGGTGACCCAATTGGCTCCATTTGCTGGGACTTTCCTGGTTTAGTAATGAAGGTCCCATATCCCAGCAATCTCCTAGTCAAGGGCAAACTGGGGCCATTGGTCATCCCACTTCTGTCTGAAACCTCGGAGCTGGTGCAAACTTGATCTCTTGGTTTAGAAATTCTTGCTGGCTCTTGATGAAATTTGAAGTAGGTAACTTTTGCTCTGGGGTCACCCATTTCTCCTTCTAAGTCCCCCTCTCCACCTCCTGGTGTGTGGTCCCCACAATGTTTTCACCCTCTATCTGTTCCAGTCTTCACCTTCAAAGATACCATGGAGCAGCAAATGAGGCCCCACGGTGAATGCTGACAGTAGAATTCCAGGCACAGAGCAAGCACAGGTGGGGAGCGCTCACTTCCCAGGCCATACCACAAGGATGGCAGCCTTTTCTGGTTAAACTCTCCTTGCCAATAAGACCCAAGGGGCACTCGGCCCCCCAGAGGGGGTTTGACACTTCTTTAAATCTGAAGCCAATTCTGCCTGTTCCTTATATGAGAGGGAGCTAGCCACATAGGTCATAAAGTGCTCTGAGGTGTTGGTTGTATTAACAAATGCAAGAAAGATCACAGTCTCTAGATGTTTTTGTTTTTAGCAGAAAATAACAGGAAAACTTCACATCCTAGCAGAACTGGCTTCTTTTCTCATCTCTCTCCAAGAATCTTCTCATTCCTCTTCCTGTCTCCCACAGAACCTACCTTACACTTGGTAGGCACATGATATATGAGTGTTGAACAACGCTCATTGCTTGGTTACCATCTCTTGGTTATCTGACTCTCCCTAGAGACCCTCACCTCCATGAGGGCAGTGGCTATGTCTACCTTGTTCATTGCCTTTTTTCAGTGCCTGGTGCTTGGCATGGAGGAAGCATATAATAAACATTGACTGAATGAATAAATGAATGAATGAAAGAAAACAACTTTTTCCAATATTCTTAATTTAGGGACCCTGGCTCGCACAGTCCTAGGACATGTCAAGAACTTCCTGGAGAGAATCTCTAGGATGTAGAGCCCCACTCAGCGTGCCCACGGGATGGTTGATCAGTCCATATTTTTATGCTGCATAAAGGGCAGAGCTTTGCCACAGTCTGGAAAGCCTGCCAGGGTATGTTTGAATTCCTGGGCCAGGACAAACGTACCACCTTGATCCCTTCCCTCCACGGCAGCCCCAGGCTGTAGGGCTTACCTGATTGGGAGCTCGCTGTCACAGTTTTGGTCTCCACAGTGCCTTTCTTGGGGATGGGGAGTGTATTGGAGGAATTCCGAGTGGGGCTCGCGCTTGCTGATCGGCTTCCCTTGACCAAACGTTTAACTTCATCCAGTTCTGTCCCTGTAAAAGCATCCCCACATTTTCCATTAGGCCCAGGATTGTTTCCTGAGTCCAGCTGCAGTGGAAGTTACATTTATGGCATTCTGAATACTAGAGAGGATGGCATTTACTTTGCATGCTGGAACATTTTTGGTTAGCCTTATAATTTTTTCATTTTGTAAATTTATAGCACTTATTAACCTGGCACTTTGTAATATTAATGGCCTCATAAATATAGAGCCTCTGTGAGGAGGTCAAAGTCGTCAGTAGCTATTTCCTAATTATACCTCATCAGACACCACAGGGATGATTCTGTAGCTGAAAGACACTGTCATCCTGGATCAAGGGAAATTTACACCCAGGGCAAGTAGAGAACCAGGCCCCTTGAAACAAATGGATCAATAGTGATTTCAACCCCTGCACAGGACGCCTCAGGTGTCAGGTCCCTGACCTTGTATGCTCTGTAGTGTCAAAGGAATTTGTGGCCCATAACTCTGAAACACTATGCTGCTTTTGTGTGAGTTAATTTCAAGTCCGTCTGGCTGATTTTATTTGTAGCACGGTGATCCAGTGGAGCCAGCTCCCTGTGCCTCCCACTGTGGCAAACAGGAGAGGAGGGAGAAGTGGGGGAGCCATGATGCAAGGGCAATGCATAAGAGGAGACAAAGAGATTTGCAGAAAACATGTGCTGGAGGACCTCCCAGGACCTCCTCCCCTGAGATTCCCGTCCTTTGGACTCAGCACCCCAAGCCTGGAAGGGCTCAGGTGAGACCATGTCAGGCCAAGAGTCAGACCCCTCGACCCCAGGCACCGAGCTCTTTGGGTAAGCACCCGTTTCTGATTCCTGAGCCACCCAGCCAATTCTTTCTCCTCCTACTCTTTGTACTTGGCTCCCATCCTAACAGTTTGGCTCTTTTCAAAATGTCAAATAACCTCTAACAAGAACAACAGAAGTCTAGCACAGTCAGCAGGCCAAGATGGGGGATCCCAGACATTTGAGATCAAGTTCAAACTCTCACACTCTATTTGTGACCTTCTCTAATCTTAACTATCCCTTGAGGTCCCCTACTGCTGCTTTTCCTTCAGCCACACTGAACGTTTCTCCAAAGTCTCATCATGTGTTCAAATGCCTCTGCTGGCACATCCTGCAGACCCACACTTCAGTCTCCCTCCTTCAGTGACACTAAGCCAGGAAGGCTTCCCAGGACCCCTGCTCTGCTCCCTGAGCTGTCATGGTCAGTTGTTGACTATCTCTCCATTTGTCTATAAACTATGAGACAGCAGGGACTGTGACTTACTCAGCTCCTTACCCACCGCACCTAGCCCAGGGTCCCTCTCACAGAAGGCCCGTAGAGACATTTAATGATTGAGTGAGTGCACTCGCATACACACACACACACACACACACACACACACACACGGAGCTCTGGATTCCTGGATCCTTTCTTTTCAGCAAGACAGTGACCACTTACATCGGGTAGATGGGGAAGCGCTCTGCAGTCGAACTCGTATTTCACTCTCTGTATGAGGGAAGAGAAGAAGGCTGTGAACGAAGGAACTTGGGTCACAGTACCTGACACCGAGCTCTGAGCAGTGGATAAGTCTTTGGGCTGCTCTGAGGTCTGTGTTCTGAGAACAGGAAACCTAGGTATACCTAGGATGAGTGCTGCTCAAAAAGAGATGTCCTCTCCCTACACCCCAACCTGGCCACTGCACACCTTCAGCCACCTGGAGAGGTTCTGGTAAAACCCCAGGCTGAACAGGGCAGCTCCATTACAATCACCAATAACCGACTCCTTTCCAGTCACCCATTTCCCAATTGCCAGGACCAAGCCCCTTCCTGCCTCGTCTCTCAGCTAGTAGTGATTAGATTCTAAAAACTATAGTGTTTACTTGGCCTCTTTAGAAATGGAAAGGGCAGGAAGTTGGTAGTTTAACATTAGTTTCAGGTGGAACACTGTCATCTCTCAACTGTCAGTGGTTGGCATTCCTGACTTCAAGTCACTGCTGCAACAAGGCCCGTAGGAAGTCTAGTCGAGAACTCCCAAAGCCTGTGAAGAATTTTGCCTTCCACGCGGCCCTGACACCTGCTCCTCACCAGGGTCATCAAGGTCAGCTTTCCCCAGGACCACATTTCCCTCCTATAGCCTTATCCATGGGCAGATGTGGGGAGTGCAACACTGTCACAGAGCCCTTTGTCCCCTGGAATAATTAGAAAGGGAAGGCCTTTTGCTCAGTATTGATGCATAAAGGCAATCATAGTACATCTTGTTAAAGTCAACCAGAAGACTAAAAGTGAAACAATATGTAGTGCCAACATCTTCAAACAATCCACAGCAGAACCAACTACTGCCCAGGTGGTTACCACATGTTTTCATTCCTGCCTCCATGTGCTTGTTAGATTACCTTCAAATCTACCCTTCCCATCCTGGTAGAGCCAGCAAAAGATTCCCAGGATGCTGTAGGCCCCTTGAAGGCAGAACTGTGACCATTTCCTGGCTCAAGGCTGGACACATGTTAGATGCTCAGAAAATACCTATTGAATGAACTGAATTGAACATAGAGATAGAGCTCACCTCGTGTTTGGCTCCGTCCTCTGGTTGCAGAAGATGCTGAGAAACAAAGAAAAGTTATCTTAGGCACAGATAAGAAGTGGCACGCTAAATAATTTTGACATGGGGGTAAGTCTATTTGGGTTAGGGGAGGAGCTGGGTTTTACAGTATGTTTGTTCCAGATAAGAGTCCTTAAGGATAGTGGGTGCATAATAAATGATGACCACATAGCCAAAAGGCAGAGCAAGTTTTGCAAGACCCCAGTGCATTTACATTGTTAAGGTAGCTAAATGGATGTCAAGTTAGCTCATGCTTAGAGTGTTAAGTTAGCTGAGGTAATCCATTTGGGAGCATGATCCATTTGGACTGGCTGACTACACACTGATCAAATGTATCAAAAGACTGCCAGATCTTTCCTTTAGTTTTTCCTTAGAGATTGCTTTGGTTTTCCCACTGAAAGCAAAGAAATAAAATTACAACCACTCATAGTCAATGATCATATCATCAATTCATATGCACAGTGAGAATCTGAAAATATGGACGAAAGACTTAAGGCCAAATGAAGAACGTGCCCCTTTGAAGCCTGCTATGGTGGAAGTGCTGGGATGTTTGGCATTTGTGTGTTCTAACCCCTGCTCCTCTTTGCTGGGAGGCCTCTGTGGAAGGAAAAATCCTACAATTGTTCCTTGGCCGTGGGGCTTATCTGTCCACGCTCGAGCCTTGTATGAATAGCTTGCTATTTCAGTAGCCTTGTGAGCAAAGGCTACAACAGCAAGTTAATGCGGTCGACAGTCCTCTTAAATGTTTCACAATAAAAAGCAAGGGAAAAACAGGTCAGCAGAGGTTAAACTCTTTTAGAAGAATTCATTTAACTCATACTGTTCCCTCCCCTCAAACCCCAGGCACTTTCCCAGTGCCTCATCTGACCATTTCTTCAGGAAATAAGGAAAGGACATACCAAATTCCTTCCGAGGATACTCTGGAGAAGAGTTGCCACTGGAGCTCCCTGGAGACAAGATAAAACACTCAGTACAGGCACACCTCGCTTTACTGCGCGTCATAGGTGTTGCATTTTCTTTTTTTAAAATATATATGTGTGTGTGTGTATATTATATATATATATTATATATATATAATTGATTTCAAAGAGAGCAAGGGAGAGGGGGAGAGAGAGATAGAAACATCAATGATGAGAGTCATTGATTGGCTGCCTCCTGCACGCCCCCTTCTGGGGATCAAGCCCACAACCTGGGCATGTGCCCTGACGGGAAGTCGAACCTCAATATCTTGGATCATAGGTTGATGCTCAACCTCTGAGCCATGCTGGCCAGGCAGGCGTTGCATTTCCTACAAAGTGAAGGCAAGACCCTCCACCAGCAAAAAGATTATGACTTGCTTCATTACAATACTCACTTTACTGTGGTGGCCTGGAACTGAACCCACAATATCTCTGAGGTCTGTCTGTACCAATGATAACCTGAACCCAAATAGCTTCCATGAGGGTGATGCCAGGTCCGTCCTTTATGAACCTCACAGGCTGCATGTTCAGGAGAATGACAGGTGCTCTTCAGCAGGCTCCTGATTTAAACCAGCTTCGCCTATCGGATGAGTCTGTGGCACTTCAATCTGGTCCCTGGTCTACTTCAGTTTGAACAAAGGAAGGCAGGAGCTTTTATTTATTTTTTTGTTTTCACTTCCTCAACTGTTTGACCTATATCAGTGCTGGCTCAGATGGCGTGTCCCTGGTCAAGTAAATGTGCTGTTGGCAGTAGGGTGTTTCTGACATTGTGAATGTCGTCCCGAGTGTGAACTCTGTTAAAATGAAGATACCAGCCCCTGGGCAGGCCTAATATCAGACGGTACTGTGGTGAAACCATCTTCCTCACCTGGATTTGGGGTCTCCCAAGACCCTCTGGCAGTTCTGGGTCTTAAATCATTTACTGGGGGTGCCCATTCCTAATCCTGGTTCTCCAGTCACTGTTAGACTCATTTGCTGCCTGACTTGTCTGTTTTCCACTAAAACTGGTTCAGCACATCACCAGAACTCCTGCCTTCTGTAATCTACCTCCTGCCTTCTCCTTCTTGACCCTGAGCACTTTCTTGCTCTGACTTCAATGACACCACCTTACCCTCCTGCCTGTCTTTGCTGTGCTGCTGCTCCCACAGCCGGGAGAGCCCCATCTCTCCACCTCTGGGTATCAAAATCTTACACATCATGAAGGCCCAGCTCAGATGCCACCTCCCCCTTAGACTCTTCCCTGGAGACTCAACAGAAATGATAATCTCCTTGTACTTTGCATTATGGTTTTTGCCATCTTAACTTGTCTTGTCTATTTGACTATAAGCTCCTTGAAGACATGTCTGATTCATTTACGTGTCCATCGAGGCATTCTGCATGGTGTCAAATATATGGTACATATTTGATAAAATACCACATGAGAAAGTGACTGACCGAATGAATGAATGAAAGAATGGGTGGGAGATCAGCTAAATCTCTAAGTACATAAACCCTTAAAAGAAATGAAGAAAGAGTGGAGAGGAAGGTGAGGGGCAGATGCAGATGAATATGGGTGGCAATATTGCAGTCTCCAAATGATGAGTGAAGTCACTGGGACAAAGTCCGTAAGACAAATACCTTCGTATGTTCCATGGCGGGTGATGTGAGTTTTCCTTTCAAATGTTGAGCCTGGTGAGTTGGGCAGAGTGGAGGCAGGTGAATGAGCCCTCCTGTAACTGGAGGTGGAGGCATGGCCTCGGGTGCTTCCACCTACAAGCCAGGAAGAGTGTTAGTCCTCATAGCACTTCGGCAGACTGACATCCAGGTCTATTGACTAAGTGCACCAGGCTGCTCATAATGGAAAAGGGCCCTATGGAGGGGCTAGAGGACGTAAGCACTGAAAAGGTCTACCAGCATTCCCTTGGCTGCTCAGAAATGGGGGTGGTTTACTATTCCTGTCCTTCCTTCCCTTCCTCCCCAAACTGACCACTGGAAGGCAGGGGGTCCTTGATGCACATGGCTGCAGTGTATGGAAATGGAGGGGCTTGGGCAGGATGGTTCCTGAGGACCTGGCATTAATTGGAGCTCACTGCTGGAGAGACTAGAACATAATCCCATGTGGAAAGTTCCTCAACAGATGAGGGCAGGCCGCTTCTCTTGGTCAACCTGACCATTTGACTTGAATTGGGTCTTCTTTTTTAGTGTCACTTCAAGATTTTTAAAATGGCTCCATGGGTTATGTGTGTACTTGTTTTTTCCCCTTGTCATGTTTTGTTTTGTTTCAGTTTGAAAGCTATCATGAAGGAGTGTTTGGTGGGGAACAACTGGCCTGTGTCGGATGCTTGTCCAGTGGAAACTTGCATGGTGTGGGGTCAGATTCCCTTAGCATAGTGACCCAGTTGTTCAGTTTCTTTATTGTTGTTAATTAACATTGTAAACCCTCAGATGTGCACACCCTTCTCTAAAAGAGATGGCTTAAAGAGAGTGATTCAGGGGGAAAGGAGCCACCTCCCCATTAAGACTCCTTAATTAATTATTGTTATTTATATTAGGGAAATAATAAAAGTTGATCCCATTAGGTTGGCATCAAATGCCTATGATGTAAAAGTCTCACCTTTCTTGGGTTCTGTGTCATTTACATAGCTCTTTGGGTCATTTGGATGGGTGACAGTTTGGTGGCTCTCCTTGCAGGACCCAATCTCTCCCTGTCTGCTCTTCCCACAACCCCTTCCACCAGCAGAAACTTACTTGAGTTTATGTAGCCACTGCTGCCATGGGTCAGGCTCTGTTTCTCCAGCCGACTCCCTCCACTGAGAGAGCCCGTTTTAGCATAGCCATTGGTGGTTCCCCCTTCTGCAGAAACAAGGAGCAGGTGACAATTTATGGGAAGAGTCAGCCCAAAGGATCCCCCTCATCCCTTGTTCATTGGAAGCCTTCCCTGGTTTCTCAACCATGACCCTCTTGGTTTGGGCTCCCTTTCCCATCTACAGTGCAAGCTGCCAGGCTCTTACTTTGTTTCTGATATAAATGTCAAAAGCAAATATTCCACTGGATATAAAAGGAATATTTTTGGGCGGAGCATAGCAAGTCATTTATTAGGAAATTTTAAATATTAGAAAAGGTAGTAAGTGATGAAAAGCTCCTTGAGGCCAGGGCCTGGGTTGGGCTTGCTTTTTTCAAATGCCTGGTCAGTGCCCCAGGCATGCAGCCCCTAGAAGTGTTGGAGAGACTAGTAACAGCTGTGTGTCACTAGTGTTCCCTCCAGGAGCCCATCATGCTCCAACCTCCCATGCTACTGGGTGGAATTTCCACACACCCCTCTCCTCTGTGTGTCAGGCTTCCTGAGAGGGGCAGGGGTAACTTCAGGGCTCAGATCTCCATTATAGAATTCATTAAGCATAAGGACCTCCCGAGGAAAAAGGCTACTCAAACAGAAGCCTCACTGGAGGGTCCCTGCTCCCACTTATGCTCAGGTTGGATACGATTTTCAATATTTAAGCATCCAGATTAGGGAAATCTATAGAGACTGATAGCAGATTTGTGGTTTTCAGGGGCTGGGGAGGGGTAGGGGAGGATTGGAAGTGACTACTAATGGCCATGAGGTTTCTTTTTGGCATGATGAAAATGTTTTAAAATAATTGTTGCAATAGCTACACAACTCTGTAAATATACTAACAACCATTGAATTATATACTTCAAACTGGTGGATTTTATGGTATATTATTGATGTCAATATAATTATATAGAAAAAAGAGATTTCAGATATTTTGGATTTGTTCTCCTGGAGTGTGAGTGCCCCTGGGAAAAGTACTTCACACATGACTGACTGAGGAGAAAGCTCTCGAGACATCACTTACTTGGCGGCAAGGATGTAAGTCTTGTCGTTACTGTTTCAGTGATAACTAGAAAAAGACAAGGAAAAGATAAGATCTTATGAGATGCACTGAAATCCCTGCAGTTTGACACAGTCTCATATCTGTCATAGGCTCACACATTAAATTAGATTCAACAGAGATTTTTGTATAGTGCGCGGTAAGGTATGTGATCTTTTTCATTACACATGAAATCATATGCAATAATAATGGAGTTTAAGATATCTGGAAAATGAGTTTATATCCCTTTGGAACCAAAAGGAGGTAGCTACCAACTGATTTGAAAAATGAGTTTTCATTGGCATTCGATGTTACACGTTTAACAATTAGATCCAGTCCAGGCCTGGATTTGCCTTTGAAGGAGGACCAGGACCTCAAGTCACTCTCAGGTGTCTCAAGTCACACTCTTTCTCTGCACTGCCCCTTCCGAATGTCACCCAGTCCAGCTGGGAGCAGTGCATCATCCTGGCTGATTTCACTGTGACGTGGAAAATTGCCTTGACTTCTTTTTATGATTTTGGGGGTATCTCAAGGACATCATAATTCATTCTAAAATCTTCAGGGCCACCCCTGAGAGTGAGGAGGTATAGAAAGGAAAGGGGGGGTCAGTAAGTTACATTTGGTGTTTGGTGAAATCAGGGATAGACGAACATCAAAGACAGACTTGAAAAACCATTCCCTTGACTCCTAAAATTGAGTTTCTCTAGACTCCAAGTGATTGTGAGTCTATGGAGGTCATAAAAGCTTCGGAAGTTTTTTAAAACACCAGTTAAAAGGAAGATCTCCTGCCTTCCTGAGTCGCCTCCCCCCTGTGCCAGCATGGGGGAAGGGGGGTAGATTCCCCAAACCATAGTGGGGCCAATTTTGTACTCTGACCATGACCATAACCACTACCTCCCTTTGTGTTGAACGTAAAAGAGCACCTGTCCAGCTGAGGTCACTGGTCTTTAAACGTTTTTCACGTGTGTGTGCTCGCACAGTGTGTGCATGCCCAGGTATATGTGTATGCATGGTATGCATGTGCACATGCATGTGGTTACGGGGTGGGAGGTGAAAGGAGAAAAAGATGGAAAGGGCAGGGTCATTTTGTGCCACCTGAAGCTGTGATGCTCACAACCACCCCATTCTAGTCTTACTACCCACCCTCCTTGCCCTTTCCTTCTCACACTGCAGGTCCTAGCAGGAACATGGGTTAGGAATCTAGCAGAAACAGCTTTCCATGCATAAAAGGAAATGTTTTTCAGACTAAAATGGCAGCTTGATTTGAATAATAGTCTTGAGCTTTCACTAAACCTCTCAGTATATGGACCTTTGGGATTCTTAGACACATAAAAAAATATTATTTCCTAACCTAAAGTTCCAAGTCTGTGGAGCCAGAATTTGTTGTTGTTGTTGAAGATTATATGAAAATCACAGGGCAAATGAAAGAGTTAGAGCTGCTAAGGGGACAGTTTAAATGTATTTGAAGCTATCATTTAGGCCGTTTCACAGAAGAAGTGTGTCTATTTTCAATTTTCAGTGTAGATTGCAACCATGACACTAGTGTTATTCCAACTGTGTCCCTTCAGTAATGGGGATATTATTCTTTTGGTTTTCTGTTGCCCTGTATTCTTAAATAAGGAAATGGTTAAATATATGATAGCAATTTCATTCAACAGAATATTATGCAGCCATTAAAAACGCTGGTTATAAAGACTATACATCAAAATGGCAGTTTTCATCTTTGAAGAAAAAACAGAACACATTTTGATTACAAGTATGTTAAAATAAAAATCAAGAAAAGGCATCTCATGGGAAGGGATAAAGTCTTTTTAGAAATACTTTTAAAATGATAATTTTTTTAAAAGCCAAAACAACAAAAGACAAACTCACACACCCTAAATACAAAAACAAAAAATTAAAAAATAGAACAAAATGATACAGTAGTTATGGTGGAATTAAGGAAGAATTATTTACTCTTTCCAAGATTTTATTACTTTGATAATGACATATATATCATGCTCTTACTTCTTTCAGTGACTTCGGTGCCATCTCGCTTGCTTTTCTTGGTCACATCCATACCATAGCCACCTGTGGAAAAAGCCAGAAGCCATAAACAACCATGCCTCTTACCACCACTTTTCAGAAGCATAGGTCCCTGCTATTCAAGCTGAGTACCTAAAACTTGATTCCTGGAATTCGAAGCATAATTCTTTCATATTTTTTATGAGACATCCCACTTCTTGTAATGTTTATAATAGTGAGTAATTTAATAGTTTCCATTTAGATTCTGTTCTTTGTACTGTGATCTTACCTTTCAGAATCTAATTGAGCAGGCTGCCTGCCCCCTGATGGGCATTAAAGGGCTTACGCAGAAGATGTGGTGCCTTGAAACTTTGACTATAAAACCTCCATTCTTTACCAAAGGAGCAAATAGCTGAAGGATATCTATCTGTCAAAGCACTTAGTGCTTTCAACTAACTCATTTTGATGTATCCTATAATGTTCAGTGTTTTATATGGAACTCTATGAATATAAGACATTTATGCTTTATTACTTAGAGTTCGGGTATGAGAATGGTTGATGGATTGATTGAAATCAGGATAAAAATCATTATAATGGCCATATTTGTATGGAACTTTATACTTTTAACAATATGAAACTTTCTCGTCGTAACAAACAAGCCCTGGTGTGCTTTTTGGCAGGCATAACTATAAAAAACTATATGAAGAAAATATGTGTAAAATCTATTGAAATATGTAGGAAAATACGTATTCCTACATGTTAGCTATGTTCTCCCTTCATGCTTACTCTGTTTCTGGAAAGGAAAATCACTGAGATCTTGTTCATTGTGTCCTGGAGTGTGAATGGGATGAGGCAGGGCTGACAACAAAGGGGTGGGTTGGGGTGGGCTGGGGTTCAGACCTAACACGCAAGATTATACAGCCCAACTGCACTCTTTTGGCTGTAGATCCCAGTCTCAGGTTCTGGAAGGACTGGCAATCTGGCTTTCCCTTTGGTCCTTCCCCCACCCTGCCCCAAACTTTTTCTTCCTCTCAGGTTATTTGTTGAATGAAGTTCAAATTGGATTCTAGAATTCTGGGGCAAGCCACTTCTGCCCAGGATGTTCCTTGCTTGAAGATTTCTTCTGTCAAGCTTTTTTGCTTGTCTGATGACTCTAGCACCTAATCTTATAGTACTTTTACATGTCCCAAAATGTGTTTCAATTTCTTTTTAAAATCAGGAGGAAAAATGGAAACACTCCAACCGGGATTATCTTCTTCCAATGCAGTTATAAAATAAATACAGTTTTTAAAAGGTTTTTTTTTTTAAATGGAGGAAGGAGTCCCAAAAGCAAAAGTGTCTAGAACCCATGAAAGTCATAACTAGTTCTGGGTAACTTCCTGGCTTGAAAAGCAAGACCACCTGAGACCAGCTGGTCAACTACCCAGTAGAATTAACCAAGATCGGCGCAGTTAGCTTTGGGGCATAGTTGAATGTGCCAACTTCTTGCTCATTGAAGTTTTTTAAATGCAGCCCTAGGCAAGGAATGAAGCATCACGGAAAAACTCCTAGGTGGATCTGAGAAGCCACAGGTCTTTTTTGAAGGTATGTGTCTCAAAGCCAAGAGGAGGGACCCACGGGCAGTTTAACAAGGGAGTGCAGCCTCACTGGAAGGCCAAAACTGGCCCATGACTTCTGCATTCCAGCAATAACCTGTATGATTTATGTCATGCAAACTACATACAACCAGACACCTTCTTTGCAATCCTTTGTTTAAGCATTAATTGCCTTGGTACCTCTAAAGCTCCTCTCTCTTTTTATATTTTTTTAATTGGTCATTAGCTGTGAAACTGGAGGCATTTGGGAGATTAAATATTTAAATGCACCTGGCTGCCGGTAGGTGCACCTAGGATGGCAGCTGAATGGATATGAAACATTATCCTGGAAGGAACTGTTTATAACAATCCATGGAAACTTTCACTTCTCACAAATTATTGCTTATTTTGATCCTTTTAATGAAAGTTGCTGCCAGCAGCTATAAATTTGGGATTGGATGGGTTTATTCCACCTGTGGCCATCAAGGCAGGCTGATGACAGTTCCCTTGGTAACAGTTGAAGTGTCCAAGCAGCAAAACTGGCAAGTGTTTTCTTGTTCTTTCTATACCCAGAAAAATAACAGACATTCCTCGGCCCTCCATCTTTTTCTTAAATCCTAATTATGGAGCCTTGAGATCTACAGCAAAAAAAACAAGGGTTTCCCAACTTCCAGAGGGCACAAGGAGACAGCTTGCTAAGAAATCAGATACCCTCCCTCAGGGCCTGGGGGCTCCTCACCAGCAGGTACCCTGGGATAGAATGTGCCCTAGGTGGTTGCAGAGATGGTCCCTTGCCTCTCAGCCTGAAGCCCCTCAAATATGTGTCCCATGGCCAAACACAATGATTTCTTGGGCCTGAAATGTTCAGGATGGAGCTCTGTTGATTTCAAAGTTCTCTCCCAGACTGGTAGTCTGAAGTGGCAGGAATATGTTGGGAGATGGATCCCTTTAAATCAAATTTGAGAGGAAACTTTCTGTAAGAGGATTATCAAATGGAAAATAAGGGGTTGAGGCACAAACCCAGACTGGGATCATCCCATGGGAACTACAGTATTCCCGCAAGGCTTCCTTTTAAAACATTTTAAATGCCGATAGATTTTAAAAGTATAACTAACATTAAGGAAAGGAAATTACATGCCCAGGCACAAGCCCGATCCTGTCTTTTCCAGCAGTGCTCACCAGTGTGCTCTTCTCCAAAAACACTACTTAATGAAGGCACAGTCAAGTAGAATAATTTTTAACTTCTTGGATGTTTGGACCACTTCACTAGAACTAAGGATCAGCAGATCACTAAAGTTCTCAGTTCCAAAAGTATGCTAATTTCCACCCATAGTTCTAAGGGGCTGCTTCATGGTTATTTCATAGTTAATGCTCTGTTGAAGATGTTAAAAATGATCCCAAGCCATTTTCTGATGCAAAAAAAAACAACTGAAAATTATTTTTCTACTTTTATGAGTTTTTTCTTTCCATTTCATCTAAATGATGTTACATCCACCTAGAACTAGTCCAGTGATGATGTGGTGTAACACACATACAAGCCAAGAGCGATAGTAAACTATAGCATAGGCCTTATCTTATTCTAACGACTCATTAAACACTTGGTCTCTCTCTTTTCTATTTTAAAAATAAATGTCCTTATTTTCTGTTAAGGTATCACAAGTATTTTTACAGCTCCTATTACTCCAATCTCTGTACACTTTACATTGTAAAACAGAACAACAACAAAATTGCCCAAGTGTAAGAAAACCATCCACTAGCTATTGATCTATAAACACAGAAGGGCTACGCAGTTTGACTGCAAAAAAGACCAAAGCCCTGGGGTTGATTGTCTGGAAGCTTTTGTCTCTACCCCAGTAATGGGTTTGCCCACTTGCAATATTCGTCACCTTCGATTTTTGCAGCTTAGGAGTGGGGGAGCTTGGGTACCAGCTTTGTGATTGTGCCGCTTGTTTACAGCAGTGTTTGTTTAAATCCTACTGCTGTTTACAACAACAAATGAGCCAAACCGCGCAGACACAGATTTCTTTGCATCACCTACGAATGTGGTCAGTTCTCAGGTCTGATCGGTTTCACTAAAATGAGGAGTTTCTGTTGAAACTTAAATCAGGATTGTTCACTTTAGCTTTCCCCATGTAAACTCTGGTGAGATTTTTGTGGGTGTTTTGAAGGGGCTGAGAGTAAAGCAGGCCCTTCTGATTCTCTGAAGGGGCTGGACGCCTGATTTAGTTCAGTTCTGTCTTAGCTCTGGGCCTTAGCTCCAAGACAGAGCATACAGAGGTGGGAAGGAACAATTCTGCTTTCCAAAAGAAGCTCCTTATAAAATCTCACAACACTTTATGGACATAACAAATCCAACTAGTAGGCTACAGATTAACTGCTTCTCAAAAGAAGTGATGTGCCGGAGGCTTTGCTTACACTTCAAAAACTGAAGTGGTACTTTGTCAGTTAGTAGCTAATGTGGTCCAGTGAGATACCTAAGCTGGTAATTCTCACCCCAAAATGATTTTGGGGACCCAAACTGGCCAGTTGAAGTGTGAAAACACAGATTTTTTTTTTTTTCTTTTCTCATTTTTGTTTTACATTTGACTCCAGGAAATTCCTGGATTAATTATATCATTCCAGATATTTCACTTTACTTTGGGCAAGCAGTAATTTTAGAGTGTGATAAACAACAGTGTTCACCCAGCCCCTTGAGCTGAATCAGTACCTGCCAGCACAGAGGCCTGGGCAACACCTAAGCTCTTCGTGCTCAGGGGCTGCTTCTAGAAGGCTACCCTTACCCTACACTTCACCTCTGCTGACAAGGGGAGACAGGGAAATAGAGGGAGTGGGAAGGACAAGAGAGAATGAGAGCGATTGAGAGACTGAGAGAGAAGAAATTATAAATTGTTATCATATTCTAAATAAAACAACTTAACACAAGCCATTTTATAATACTGAAAGTAATACCAAAAAAAAATCTGGCCACTAGAGCCCAGTTTATCTTAACTAGCCCTTTTCTTCTCTTTACAACTGGTGAATCTTTCCTGTTCCTTTAAAAGACCTATCCTAAGCAGAATGCATCCACCAAAGTAACCATTTCTGATCAGTTAATCACGTCAACCAGAACACTTGAAATTCAACAACTTTCTCTTATCTTCTCCAACAAACATTAAGTTCTAAGTGGCAAACCTCAAATCAAAGTCTCAGGAGAAGGGAGAAAAGTCGAGCTCTTCCTGTTACTTACCTCGTTTGAGATTTTGAAGGAATGGGAACTTTGAATAAATCCCCCTCTCTCTTGCCCTGATGTTTTCTTCTAGACGTTTGCAGTTCCCACTTTTTTTTATCCAGACCCAGCCAAGGTGTGTTAGAGCTGAGTGATCTTTCAAAAATGTTCACTTCTCTCCCCCTTGTTTCTTTCAGTCCTTTGCTCCCAGACAAGTCCAGACAAAGGCGTGTCGTGGTTTACGGCGTTACTCCACCCTTCCAATTATCTGACACTTGCTGGATTGGAAAAAAAAAAATCTGCCTCCAGGAATCAAACTTTATAGGAGGCAGAAATTTTCTCCTACCTGTTTAGGAGGATTAACCATTTCTGGGCCCATGGGGAAAATGGGTCAAAGGTCAACGTAAAGGAAATTCCCTTTCATTGCTTCTTACCTTCTATAGCCAGAGAACTTCCACAACCTGGTATTCCCCTTCCTCATTGCCATGGAATAGTAAAAACCCCAATATGCATGATTCGTGGTATACTAGGCATGTAGGGGCCTGTGCTCAAGTTGTCTGAATCCTACAAAAACTGTGAAGTTGGCAGGATTGATATTCAAGACCTTTGCCCTCTTTTCCCCCATTCTGACCCAAGCAGGTCAAGTCCACCTGGAAGAAAAAAGTGAGTAAACTAATTTAGAATAAGGCGTGAAAGACTGAAAGTGTGGAGCAATTGGTGGGATGGGGCTTCATTTTTTTTTAAAATGAGGTAACCAGATATAGAAATGCTGACTCCAAAGAGTGATATGTTAGTGACAGGATTTTAGGCAACTAACCACCTAAATAATGGAGAGAGATACTGCTGGGGAGGGTTAAGGATCTTCTTGCCCCTCAAATCAGCAACCGCATAGTCTCCACACACTTGTGGACTCCCAGAGGCCCTGTAATTCCAGGTGTGTTCCATGGTACCATTGGACTTCCCTAGAGGGTCAATTTGCACCAATCTAGATCATTCTTATGAATACCTGGATAGCATCTGGTTTTCCAGGACCCCTAAAGACTACCTTGGGACTCTTGGTGTAGTGTAATATGGGAAGTCTGAACTTAAAACTCACTCAGGTGCATCTTTGGAGCCATAGCACCTTCTTGGGACCAAATGTCAGATTTGGATTCCCAATTCTGAGGCATCATTCCAAGATCCTGGAGGGAAGCCATGGAATTCTTTTAGCAGAGCACCACTGCGTATCTGCACCCTGCTATTGGGTTACACAAACCGCATGGAAGAGTTTGAGCACTACCCGTGAGGTTCTCACTCCAAAGCTCGCAATATCTTGCTTTGGAGTCACACATTTCAGAACCCTTTCAATGTCCTAGAATGTGACACTACAGGGTTCTTGCTTTCTGGGATGTTCCTGCCTCCCCCTCTGCCCAAAATACTTACTCAACATGAATGCTGTCAGTATCATAGGAGAAGAGCATTGAAAAATCTGTAAGACAAACAGCATGAAATAGACACAACCCTGCATCATTCATTCACTTATTCATTAATTTATAAATTAACCAAAAATATATGAGCTCCTGCTTGGAGCCAGACATTGAACTATATGCCGAGAGTTCAGGGGTGAAATATAGACATGTCCTTTGTCCTTAGGGAGTTCACAGCCTAGTGGAGTAAGATAGGCTTTAAACAATATAATACTCTGCCAGGACTGCCATAACGAAATTCTGGTAGCTTAAACAACAGAAATTACTTTTCTCACAGTTCTGGAGGCTGAAAGTCCAAGGTGTCAGCAAGTTTGGTTTCTTCTGAGGCCTCTTTCCTTGGCTTGCAGATGGCTATCTTCTTGCTGTGTCCTCACATGGCCTTTTCTCTGTGTGTGTGCACCTCTGGTGTCTCTCCCTCTATATTGTAATCTCCTCTTCTTTAAGGACACCAGTCAGATTGGATTAGGGTCCATCTTAACGGCCTCATATTAACTTAATTATTTCTTTAAGGGCCATATCCCCCAATACTGTCATATTCTAAGGTACTGGGGGTTGGGCTTCAACATTTGAATTTTGGGGGAAACACAATGTATAAAAATTATGTATACAACAAATAATTATGTACCAATATACAATTAGAATGTGATAACTATTATGAAGAAAGAATTCTGGATACTATGAGAGAGCAGAAGAGGAGACATAATTTTGAGGAGGGATGTAAGGGAAAGTCCTGCTAAGAAAGTGACATTTAAACAGATAGATGAAGGTTGAGTAGCAATTACACAGGTGAAAGGAGGGGTTGAGAGTGATTTAGAACCTAGACAAGGAAAAGAGTACTTGAGAAGGTTCTGAAGTGGAAGAAGCATGGTGAGTTTGAGGGACAGTGATGCCAGTGCATGTAAGTGCACCAAGCAAAAGGAGGGTGGCATTGGAAGAGAAGCTGGAGAGATAGGCAGGGGCTAGATCACACAAGGTTTCATAGGCCATGGCAGAGAGGTGGCTTTTGGTACTTGGCAAATGTTCTTAAACTTGGGAATAACTCTACATAGGCATTGTATGAACATTTGGATTATCAAGAAATAAGAGAGGCTGCAACTAATGTTTTTTAAAGTCTATTATGTGTCAGATATTTTACATACGTTACTTTATTTAATCGCAACAGCAACTCTAACAGCAACTGTTTATTTTATAGCTGAGAAAGTGAAATTCAGAGAAACTGAATATGCAGTTCCCGAGAGGGTAGAGGGACTAGAAAAGGAGTTAAGTGATGGATCATGCCTATGTGATGAAGCCTCCAAAAAAAATCCCAGTAGTGTGGGGCTCAGAGAGCTCCCAGGTTGCTGAACATACCAGCATGCTGGGAGGGTGACCCGCCCCAACCCCATGAGGATTGAAGCTCCTGTGCTCAGGGTTTCCCAGGCCTCCCCCTATGTATCTCTTCATCTGGCTGTTCATCTGTATCCTTCATCGCATTCTTTAATAAATTGGTAAATGTAAGTAAGTGTTCCCCTGAGTTACGTGAACTGTTCTAGCAAATAATTGAATCCAAGGGCTAACGGGTCATGGGAACCTCCGATTTGTAGCCCCGTTGGACAGAAGTTGTGAGTAACTTGGGGCCTACCGTTTGTGATTTGCATCTGAAGTCTCATGGGACTGAGCCCTTAACCCGTGGAATCTGACACTATCTCCAGGTAATGTCAGAATTAATTTAAATGTAGGACACCTAGCTAGTGCCACAGAGAATTGCTTGGTGTCACATTGTAGGGACCCCACCCCATGTCTGGTGTCAGGAGTGTTATATGATAGTAGTGTGAGAGTAAAGAAAGACACAGGAGGAAAACTAGGAGATGTTTTTCTATACAGTACAGAGCCTATATTCCACTTGACTCTTGAACCCTCATTTCCCACTGCCTGTATGTTATATAGATTTAAGTATGCCGATAGCTTGAAATGAAAGGAAATAGGCAATACGTAAACAGAACAGGCTGAGAGCAAATGACAACTTAAATAAGAATAAAAATCATCTGAATAGTGGGGATATTTTCAGTCAGCAGCATTATGGTGTAGGTATAATTTGTTAATGATTTTAGATAAAAATCTGTAATAGGAGCTGGCAATGATAATCCAATCAATTACTCAATTTACATAACTACGACATAAAACCAAACATGCTAACCAACCATTGAAATCAGCATGGCTGTTTTTTTTTTCCTCCTGTTGGGTCCCTGTAATAACTGGTATTCTAGTATATTCTGTATATATTGATTATATTCTATATATATTGAGTATATTCTAATTACTCAAGGTTCATAGTTTATTGTGCTGGACAAAATCATTTCTAATAAGACTTACCTTGGTACATGGAGTGAAAGAAAACCTTATGTTCATTCAACATTCATATGTTAACTTCCTACTATATCCTGGTACTAAGGGAATTGACTTTTAAATGTTTCAAATTAGCTAGAAAGCAACAAAATTCTTGCTAAAATTAAGGAGTAGAGTCAGATTTAGGGGAAAGCAGTGACTAAGACACCGGAAAGGTGTTTCTTGTTTCTTGCTTCATTTGGAACTGTGTTTAATGAGTCACATTTAATCAATTTTTGATGGACCAAAAAGAAAATTTCCTTAAGAGGCAACCAGAAAAATATTCACCCTCCCCAAATTATCTACTGACTTTTAACTAGGTTGGGAAGAAAAGATGTCTGTTTATGTGTATTCCAGACCAGTGCCTGGTGACCAGACTCTCATTACTTGCTGAGCACTGTGAGTAGAGGTATGCCCCATTTTCTGTGGCTGATGAGTTTCTGAAAAGTGATGTGTAAATCCAGTTTTTGGTGACTAGGGTGGATGTTTTTGTCAAATGACTATTCACTATCTCATTAATCTTTGTGAACACATATTTTTCTGTATTTGTTTTGTTTAAAGGAATGTACCCTATAGATGGATTTCTCTCTACTCTGTGACCCTCCTACCATAAGAGTATTACATGATAGTGATATGTTTTTATCTTAAGTTCATCAAGGGATCCTAAAGCTTCAAGGCACATTTGCCTTGCTTTCCTCAGAGACAATGGGAAGTGAAGTTCACTAAAGTAGAAAATGGTGCAGCACATATACTAAAATTGGAATGATACAGAGAAGATTAATTAGCATGACCCCTGCGCAAGGATGACACTCAAATTCATGAAGTCCATAAAAAAAAGGGGGGGGAAAATGATTTTATATTTAGTGAGATAATTCTACTATCTACAATCCTTGATTCAGCTTTTTTGTTGGACAGTAAATTCACTGATTTAAAATAAATTGAGCCCGGCCGGGCGTGGCTCAGCTGTTGAGCATCGACCTAGGATCCAGGCAATCAGGGTTCGATTCCCCGTCAGGGCACATGCCCTGGTTGTGGGCTTGATCAATGACGCTCTCATCATTGATGTTTCTATCTCTCTCTCTCTCCCTCTCCTTCCCTCTCTCTGAAATCAATAAAGATATATTTTAAAAAATTAAAAATTTAAAAAAAAAATAAATTGAATTTCTATATATTAAAATAAAGATAATATGATTTTTTGTTGCAGGTTGCTACTACATTTCTAAGACTAGAAGACCATATTTCCTCCTAGCTTTCTCTTTGGTTAGCATGTACTCCTGGATAATAAGACTTCCCTGTAAACAATTATGACAACAGCTTATGTCACAGTTTATGGAGCACTTGGCTTTTGGAAG